ATAAGTTATGTGACATTGATTTCTGTTGATAAGTTATGTGACATTGATTTCTGTCTTTGATAAGTGATGTGACATTGATTTCTGTTGATAAGTTATGTGACATTGATTTCTGTCTTTGATAAGTTATGTGACATTGATTTCTGTCTTTGATAAGTGATGTGACATTGATTTCTGTCTTTGATAAGTTATGTGACATTGATTTCTGTCTTTGATAAGTTATGTGACATTGATTTCTGTCTTTGATAAGTTATGTGACATTGATTTCTGTTGATAAGTTATGTGACATTGATTTCTGTCTTTGATAAGTTATGTGACATTGATTTCTGTCTTTGATAAGTTATGTGACATTGATTTCTGTTGATAAGTTATGTGACATTGATTTCTGTTGATAAGTTATGTGACATTGATTTCTGTCTTTGATAAGTTATGTGACATTGATTTCTGTCTTTGATAAGTTATGTGACATTGATTTCTGTCTTTGATAAGTTATGTGACATTGATTTCTGTTGTTGATAAGTTATGCAATGATGCTCAAATCTCATTTTGTATATGTCATATGGAATACTTTCAGTTAATACTGTGAATCTTAATTCTGAAAAAAAAAACAAAAACAAAAACAAAAAACAAAAAATGAAACAACCCAAACAAAGGAAAACAAAACAATTCATTTATTTAAAATTGTGAATAAGTCTTTAAGATAACCAACAACTGTCAGAGATTTGATAAATGATCAATTCTAAATCAAGGAAAATGTCAATCAGATTAAATCCATACCTCAATTTTCGCAAAATTGGCTACATCAATTCAGCTTGACAAAGCTGAGTGGGGTTTATATAGATCAATATAATTTATGGGTTTTATTCTAATTTAGAAAATGTTTTACCCCAGTCTAAAATGTCATTTGAAATTGAAAGTGAAAATGCTATGTAAGCTTGTCTATTTTTGACCAATCATTTTCAGTAAATGACTCCTGATAGCTATAGGTCATGCTTTGTGAATCTAAAAGACCTGGAACTCAGATCATTGTGATAACAAGCAGCGTTCATTACGCCCATGGCAACAATCAAAATATTTAACTTATGTGGGTATTCTTGTGAATCGAGTACACGATTTCCTTATCATGTGTGTGATTTTTCCTTTCATATTGAGATAGTAGTATATATACACACCTTCATATATCTATTTAAAAAATCATTAGATCATCTTTAAGACATGACGTCTGTACAAACAGAATGCCCATCGATGCATAATTGATATCAGTGTAATCACTACCAGTAATTTACCAGTTCACACCTACGTCACTGTAAATAGCATTATAATACTTCAGTATCTTCATACACATCTACAAACAACACCATAGTTTCCTTTGGAAGTAAATATATTTGTTGTATAATTTTGTTTAATAAATGTATGTAGTTGATATTAAGATTACTATTTTCTGTTTGATTGAACCATTCCTATGCTTATTACATTTCTGTTTCTTTTAACATGGAATTCTAAATATCGTAGTTTAACATGGTATCACTGAAGATTGAACAATTTGATTGAACATTAAGTGGAGTTAGTTTTGAAATCTAATGTACCACAGGGAGAAGGGAGTTCTGAAATCTTACCTTACCACAGGGACAAGGGAGTTCTAAAATCTTAAATTACCACCACAGGGAGAAGGTAGTTCTGAAATCTTAAATTACCACAGGGAGAAAGGAGTTAACTTACCACAGGGACAAGGGAGTTCTAAAATCTTAATTTACCACAGGGAGAAGGGAGTTCTGAAATCTTAATTAACCACAGGGAGAAGGGAGTTCTGAAATCTTAAATTACCACAGGGAGAAAGAAGTTAACTTACCACAGGGAGAAGGGAGTCCTGAAATCTTAACTTACCATAGGGAAAAGGGAGTTCTGAAATCTTAACTTACCACAGGGAGAAGGGAGTTCTGAAATCTTAAATTACCACAGGGAGAAAGGAGTTAACTTACCACAGGAAGAAGGGAGTTAACTTACCACAGGGAGAAGGGAGTTCTGAAATCTTAACTTACCATAGGGAAAAGGGAGTTCTGGAATCTTAACTTACCACAGGGAGAAGGGAGTTCTGAAATCTTAACTTACCACAGGGAGAAGGGAGTTCTGAAATCTTTAACTTACCACAGGGAGAAGGAAGTTCTGAAATCTTTAACTTACCACAAGGAGAAGGGAGTTAATTTATCACAGGGAGAAGGGAGTTCTGAAATCTTAACTTACCACAGGGACAAGGGAGTTCTGGAATCTTAACTTACCTGAAATCTTAACTTACCACAGGGAGAAGGGAGTTCTGAAATCTTAACTTACCACAGGGAGAAGGGAGTTCTGAAATCTTTAACTTACCACAGGGAGAAGGGAGTTAACTTATCACAGGGAGAAGGGAGTTCTGAAAGCTTTAACTTACCACAGGGACAAGGGAGTTCTGAAATCTTAACTTACCATAGGGAAAAGGGAGTTCTGAAATCTTAACTTACCACAGGGAGAAGGGAGTTCTGAAATCTTAAATTACCACAGGGAGAAAGGAGTTAACTTACCACAGGGAGAAGGGAGTTAACTTACCACAGGGAGAAGGGAGTTCTGAAATCTTAACTTACCATAGGGAAAAGGGAGTTCTGAAATCTTAACTTACCATAGGGAGAAGGGAGTTCTGAAATCTTAACTTACCACAGGGAAAAGGGAGTTCTGAAATCTTTAACTTACCATAGGGAGAAGGGAGTTCTGAAAGCTTTAACTTACCACAGGGAGAAGGAAGTTCTGAAATCTTTAACTTACCACAAGGAGAAGGGAGTTAATTTATCACAGGGAGAAGGGAGTTCTGAAATCTTAACTTACCACAGGGACAAGGGAGTTCTGGAATCTTAACTTACCTGAAATCTTAACTTACCACAGGCAGAAGGGAGTTCTGAAATCTTAACTTACCACAGGGAGAAGGGAGTTCTGAAATCTTTAACTTACCACAGGGAGAAGGGAGTTAACTTATCACAGGGAGAAGGGAGTTCTGAAAGCTTTAACTTACCACAGGGACAAGGGAGTTCTGAAATCTTAACTTACCATAGGGAAAAGGGAGTTCTGAAATCTTAACTTACCACAGGGAGAAGGGAGTTCTGAAATCTTAAATTACCACAGGGAGAAAGGAGTTAACTTACCACAGGGAGAAGGGAGTTAACTTACCACAGGGAGAAGGGAGTTCTGAAATCTTAACTTACCATAGGGAAAAGGGAGTTCTGAAATCTTAACTTACCACAGGGAGAAGGGAGTTCTAAAATTTTAACTTACCATAGGGAGAAGGGAGTTCTGAAATCTTAACTTACCACAGGGAGAAGGGAGTTAATTTATCACAGGGAGAAGGGAGTTCTGAAATCTTTAACTTACCACAGGGACAAGGGAGTTCTGGAATCTTAACTTAACACAGGGAGAAGAGAGTTCTGAAATCTTTAACTTACCACAGGGAGAAGGGAGTTAATTTATCACAGGGAGAAGGGAGTTCTGAAATCTTAACTTACCACAGGGACAAGGGAGTTCTGGAATCTTAACTTACCTGAAATCTTAACTTACCACAGGGAGAAGGGAGTTCTGAAATCTTAACTTACCACAGGGAGAAGGGAGTTCTGAAATCTTTAACTTACCACAGGGAGAAGGGAGTTAACTTATCACAGGGAGAAGGGAATTCTGAAAGCTTTAACTTACCACAGGGACAAGGGAGTTCTGAAATCTTAACTTACCACAGGGAGAAGGGAGTTCTGAAATCTTAACTTACCACAGGAAGAAGGGAGTTCTGAAATCTTTAACTTACCACAGGGAGAAGGGAGTTAATTTATCACAGGGAGAAGGGAGTTCTGAAATCTTAACTTACCACAGGGACAAGGGAGTTCTGGAATCTTAACTTACCACAGGGAGAAGGGAGTTCTGAAATCTTAACTTAACACAGGGAGAAGAGTTCTGAAATCAAACACCATAGATGGTCAAAAGTTTTGAAATCTACAGACTATGGGGCAGATTGACCGTATTCAAACTCTAGTTGGGAACAGTTGTGAAATACAGGTGGGGTCAGTTTTGAAATGACCATAGCTATAACAACAGGTGAGAGGGAATTCTGGAATGTTTTACTGATCACAGGGAGAATTATTTAAAACATTTTACTGACCATAGAGAGTAGGAAAACTGAGCTTTATTAAACATTTTACTGACCATAGAGAGTAGGAAAACTGAGCTTTATTAAACATTTTACTGACCATAGAGAGTAGGAAAACTGAGCTTTATTAAACATTTTACTGACCATAGAGAGTAGGAAAACTGAGCTTTATTAAACATTTTACTGACCATAGAGAGTAGGAAAACTGAGCTTTATTAAACATTTTACTGACCATAGAGAGTAGGAAAACTGAGCTTTATTAAACATTTTACTGACCAAAGAGAGTAGGAAAACTGAGCTTTATTAAACATTTTACTGACCAAAGAGAGTAGGAAAACTGAGCTTTATTAACATTTTACTGACCATAGAGAGTAGGAAAACTGAGCTTTATTAAACATTAACCTAGAAAATATAAGGTCAAAGGAACAACTGACCACTCGAGGAACATTCTGAGTGAATTGTCCAAGTGGACTGTCCAAATGATGTATGAGCATGACCAGAGACAGATACTCTTATAGTTGATTAAAAGAAGAAAGGGGCACTAGAGGGGGTAGTTGTTGACTGGCATTATATCACATTTTGGATATTGAAACTGACATCTTAGGATAAAATGGGTCTGATATTAGGTTTTTCAACTTGTCTTCGTGATTATTGAATTGAAAATGTTTTCCCACTTCAATGATTGCTTGTTATTATATCAACTGACACAACATGTAGTCTACATGTTGGGACAGGATAGAGATTATATCTTGTATTATCTATTATTTAATACAATAACATTGATATTAGTCCCCATACGACCAGAACAGTAAAAGCTGATAAATAAAATCATCTAACTTGTTTTTTCCAGCGGGAGAACCAAGAAAATATGATCCAAATTTTAAAGGACCTCTAAAAAACAGGTAGGTAAACTTACTTATATTGTAATCTGATCATTATTGCAGCACTGTCTGTAATTTCTATAATTGTTCTTATTTGGCAAATATTCTGGAAATGATAAATTGCCATTGTTCTTATTTCTGTCTTTGGAATATGCACACCATGTATCACTCAGTAACTTATATACACTAAACAACACTAACAGTTTAAAATTGCTTTTGAATGTTGGACTCAATAGATAAATTGGCACAGGTTAGGTGTAGTTATGTGGTTAATGAAGATAAAATGTTGTAAAATATCAACTTGATGATGAACTGTCTGTCTATTTCAAATAAAATTATGGCTGTAATTTAGAAAATATCACTTCAAGTTTAATAGACTCAGTTTGATTACTGAGAAAGACAATTGAAATTATGAAAGAGAGAAATATTTCCTTTCTATCATAATGAATGGTTTTGTTGATTACAGATCCTGTACAGATATAATATGTTGTCTCCTCTTCCTCTTCTTCCTTACCGGAATGGTGGCCTGTTCCATTCTTGGTATGTAGAAATATTGATGTTGTGCTTGTAAAGTTCCAAATAAGTATTTTGGTATATGTTTTCCACTGAAAGGTTCATCTAATCACAGATTCTACATTGTTGTTCCTTGAAATATGAATGATTGCACGGCAATATTGATGACTATTGTGTGTGGTTTGTCTCAGGTTTTGTGCGGGGAAACCCTTACAAGTTGATCTACCCTACTGACAGCTCTGGCAATATCTGTGGACTTGACTCAAAATCGTGAGTAAAAAAATAATACAAGGCTGCGTAATTGAAACATAATTTCATGGTGATTAAACCCATATACCCACAGATTATATGTTAGAAGGTATGATCAGCTGTTGGGTTTATTGTGATGCATAAATCTCAGATTTGAAGGATTTGCATTTTGTTCATCTGTCCTTTCACTATCTTGTCCAATACTTGGCATATGGTTTCACCTTGGTGAGGTGATGTGTCACCTATTGAAATTAAGTCGCCCTGATCTACATTTTGACTCTTGACTACAGCAAAGAAAAGTTTGTTCAGGGTCTTATCTCTTACACTACTAAGCAAAGGAACTTCCTACTTCGGTATGGAGTCATCTTGTAAAGGCAGTATGTCGGTGAGGCACTGTAATTCACCCAATTGTCTTCTTCAAATTATATGGAAGAATTTCAAATTGGGAAACTTATAAATTTGAATGCATGTCCCTAATTTACTTTTGATTACTGCGTTTAATCTCTCAAAGATATTTTTGTTGCACTATGATGAGTATAAAAAAAATCTATGCAAGTATATGAGGCAAGTATGAATGGTGAAAGTACAGCAAACTTTTTTGTATTTCTAATTGCACAGCATCAAAGAAATTTTTGACTCAACTAGAATAAACAGTGCTGATAAATATGAAAAACTTTTCTTTTTACAGAAGCAAACCATACTTGATGTACTTTGATGTTCTACAATGTGCAAAGATGGGGGCAAATGCTATAGTTGCAGGCTGTCCAACACCACAGGTAGGCTTTGTATTTTGATGAGTACCAAGTATTATTTTGTAATAATTAAATAGCATGATAGAGATCAGAACAAGTTGTTTCCAAGCACAAATATTATAACCCATAGATCTAGCTGTCGAAAATAAGTGCTCAGATTTGTAGATTTGTTGGTTAAAATCAGATTATATAAAGATGCTACAGTTTGGAATTATCTTAAGTAACATTGTATGTTATAAAATGAGAGAAAATCAAAGAGTAAATTCTGAAAGAAAACTACATTATGATTAAAACCAGAGATATACACATCTGAATGGTGATGTGCTTTACTAAAAGAGTGAAACATTACAGGTGTGTGTATCAGCATGCACAACGGACTACTGGGTGTACTTAGAAGCTATAGCGACTAGCAATACCGCCGGACTCTTGTGTAAAGACTCAGTTGACACAACAACTGTGACCACAGGGGTAAGTGATGATGTCACCAATATGTGGGTCTATTGTCATACTTTATGAAGCCATCTTAAGGGACCTGAATGCTTCTCATTGACTACTTATGGTATAGACAAGCTTTAAGAAAACAGAATGAAACCTAAAGTTGGAGAAAGTTTTTCATATGTTAATTTCCATGCTAAATGTTAAAAAAGATGGATTTTTGTCATAAATATATTTCTGTGTTTTCTTTCAGCAAATCGCTTCTCTTGTGTCTAATGAGGACTGTGCTTCATACTATGTCAAGAACACTGCAAGTAAGTGAGCAATTGAGTTATTTCCCTTTGTATAGGCCAAACATTAATTTTTAGATTGTCCATCTGGTGTAAGACTGGTAAAAGTATCATTTGGTACATTTCTTCTTTTAGTCTTAGACTTTTAAAGAGGTTGCATTTAATAACAAGCATTCATCTGTTCCCCTATGACCTTTTTGTCCTTTTTTATGATCTTTGGTCTTTTTTGGCTTTTTTCCTTTTGATCATAGATATTGAAATGTTGTTTTAAAGACATTTTCATTTTCTTATCAAAGGTACCCTCAACAAAGTTTATATTCATACAACATAGCATCAATACATATATGAGGTTCTACTCTTGATTAGATTTTCATGGTCATTGGTCAACGGTTAAAGGTCAAAGTTCACATGTATTAACCTGACTTTCAAAAGCTTCCCTTATCTTGTTTTTACTATTCTGTACATTTGATGGACGAGTTGTTAAAAGAGTGTAACTATTGCAACTTAAAGCTATCAAAATGGAAGAGAGATAGATTAAGTTGAAAAGATATTGTATATGTAGAGGTAGTGTTAAACTCAATTGAAGTGATACAATGTAATTCATAAATAATATCTTTATTTTACAGTTGTGGGTCGTTGTGTGCCTTCCTTCTTCCTAGATGTCACTAACTATGCTTCGAACCTACAAACCACCGGAGCTTACAATCTGACTACATCTAGTGGAGGATCTGTTACAGCTAATGACATGACCACTGCCAGCTAGTAAGTTTAACCTCTAAGTTTATGGTACCATTTCCAGGAGTGATGTAATTGTCATGACTTGAATATAGAATTTAACAAAATGTTAAAAAAAAAAAAAAAAAAACGCCTGACAGGAGAGTTAGAATTTACCTTGATGATTAAAATCACTTTGTTTATTTGATTGATAAATAACCTGATATCAGTATAACATCAGTGTTAATTAACTTAGGTGCACTGTTGTCTGCCAATTGTTTAGTTCATTGCAACACCTTCCTTAATACAAGTATATGTTAATAGTAACAATAATGCCCCTTTCTTTTCCCACAATTTTCAATCAAAGAATTGTTGAAAATGTTTCATTAATACAAACCTATATCTTTGTTGTAACTTTTTCCTAGCTACTTGGCAAAATTCTTCACAGCCACACAGTACATAGAGATGGTGTTCAAGGACATTGTGGCCTCTTGGTGGCTCCTTCTGGTGTTTGCAGGCATCGCCATGATAACCTGTTTTATTTGGATCATTCTCCTTCGTTGGATTGCAGGCATCATGGTCTGGATCAGCATTGTTCTAGTATTTGGTCTCCTTGGATTTGGTAAGTTTTCATACATAGAACATATTACAAGTACTATGTGATGGTTTATTGATGCAAAAATGTTTTGGAAAATGTAAAATCAAGACAAATGTTTTAGAAAATGTAAAAACATTGGAAACATAAAAACTGTAGAAAGGAAGAAACTGTAAAAAATAGCAAAAAGCATAAAAAATGTAAAAAAGGAAAGAGCAATGCTTTTGAAAATGTAAGAACAGAACAAATGCTTAGAAAGTGGAAAAACAGTAAAAATGTTATAGAAAATGTAAAAAGGACAAAAAAATGAATATAAAACATTTTGGAAGATATTAAATCTCTAAATATTGTGAAAAAAAATGGAATAATGTAAAAATGTTTTGGAAAATTCAAAAATAGTGCAAAAGGTTTTGAAAATATAAAAAATTTAAAAACAATTTTGATAATAACAAATAAAGAGTGAGGGTATAGTGAATGGTATGTACTGTACATTGAAACACCAAACCAGCGTCCACTGTTTTCAGTATGTATGTCAGACACCAAGTGATTACATGTATATATTAGAATTTATTCCTGCTTTTGTTAGGAATTCTTTTCTTTACACTACAGCATGCTACTACAGCTATGCCCAGTACTACGAATTAAAGAACCAGAATTCCACAGCCACCTACGGAGTTTCTGAAGCTTTCGCCCTTAACTTCAGTTACTATCTCCAGCTTAAAGAGACATGGCTGGCCTTTGGTAAGAGACAGATGACATTGATTATGTCTACAATAGATTTAATTATAATTATGAGATACATGTCTATGTGGTATCATTCTTCACTAAAACACCTTCACCTGACAAACTTGACTATATCTACATAACATTGTGTATTTGGTGCCAGCTGGTATTGAATGGAACCTTATAGATATGTATTTGATAACCAACTTGATTCACAATATAGTATTTCCACTACATTTTATATGAAAATTATAAATAATATCTAAAAAAAAACAATGTTTATACAACTTTGTTTCAAATTCTGATAGATAATATTCAGAAATAGTTACAGTATTTTTATTAACTGGAAAAAACTCAACTTCTGTGCTGTAGCCACCGGCTACACATACTACATGAGAAAGGGGGTCCCACCTTAAAATGATCTTTGCTATTTACAGGGCGATAAAACTGACAAACGAACCAGCTAACAAATATGTAAGAATTGAGATCAATTTTAAACTTTGTATATTTTTTGTCTCTATTCAGCTTGTTCTACAGCGACGTTTCTCATCATTTTCCTATTGATATTCATTTTCCTGGTAAAGAGAATTTGTATAGCCATAGAACTGATCAAGGAGGCCAGCAGGTAAGCTTGGCTTATCATTTAGATGTTTTAACGCATTAAGTGTAAGTGTAACTCAAATTAGTGGACAGCACTGATAGATATCTGTTGAAATTTATTAGATATAATTAATACTATATAAACATATTGCATCTTGTGACGTCTAAACGTATAGTATACATATCTATGTACATCATATTGGCTAAGTCTATTGTGTGTGTTTAAATTTTACACATATATTGTGACAGCTAAGTCTATTGTGTGTGTTTAAATTTTACACATATATTGTAACAGCTAAGTCTATTGTGTGTGTTTATATTTTACACATATATTGTGACAGCTAAATCTATTGTGTGTGTTTATATTTTACACATATATTGTGACAGCTAAACCTATTTTGTGTGTTTACATTTTACACATATATTGTGACAGCTAAATCTATTGTGTGTGTTTATATTTTACACATATATTGTGACAGCTAAGTCTTTTTTGTGTGTTTATATTTTCCAGGGCCATCGGTCACATGATATTCACATTGATTTGGCCAATCTTCCCGTTCCTCCTTCAAGTCTGTGTGGTTGGTTACTTTGGTGTCAGTGTTGCGTATCCTTTATACATAAGTGACCAGATATATTGACGGAATGAAGTTGTATAAAATTGAGACTGTTTTCAAATAGTTACATCAAAATGTGTATCCCAATATAGACTTACAAAATATACTTAGGGATAAAAAAATACCTACCCATGTTCCTGCTAAATCCTATCAACCTGGTCTTTGGAGCATATAGCATATACCCTGATTTTTTTTTTTTTACAATTTTTGAGGAAGGACTTATGAAGTCAGGATTTCTTCACTATACACCCATAGAAAAAAAAAACTTTTTAAAATAAGAATAAAGGAATTTCCCAACTGACAGGTTTTTCCTAACATCTACGATAAAACTTGCATACAAATGAATCATTAATAAGGACTTGTTATTGACCAGTTGTGGTCAATTCCTCATTCTAATATATAACATAAGTTGAGTTTCAAGTATTATCAAGAACGTCAGCTTTCATTTTGTTCCAGATCTTGACATCTAAATCTGAAATTAAAGACATGTCTGTTTTTGGCCTTCACTGAAAAAAACAATAACACCAATAAACCTGGTTAACTTTTTTTTCAGATTATCTACCTTTGATTTAAGATAATGATTAACATTCATATCCTCATTATCAACAGTATGTATGTTTTTCTCTTGGTTCTTGTTGTTTCCCCAGTTTCTGTTGTTTTGATCTCTGTACCCCTTCTGTCAGTGTGGAGACAGTATTTTGTCTTCACTGGTCTTGTTTACCTTATAAGATGTTTATACTACTATAACCTTGACTATCTCCCAGTTTCATAGCTTCCATGGGTGATGCCGAGTATTACAACAACTCGACCAACACCTCTACCGACGGTGTCAACTATTATCTGTCTAGAGTCACCTGTACACCAAATGTAAGTTTATTTGTTATAAACCTACTATAAATCTATCTGTACACCAAATATCAGTGTACTTGTAAACTATTGTTAGCCTTCATGTACACCTCATATAAGTCTATCTGTAGCATAATGTAAATCTACCTGTACATCTAATGCAAAGCTACCTGTATGCCTTACATTGTCGACTAGTATACCTAACATAGTCTATTTGTTACATTATTGTAGCCAACCTTTACGCCTAATGTTGACTACCAGTACAAATAATGTTAGTCTACCTATATACCTAATGTGAGTCTACCTGTATACCTAATGTTAGTCTACCGGTACACCTAATGTGAGTCTACCTGTACACCTAATGTGAGTCTACCTGTATATCTAGTGTTAGTCTTCCTGTATACCTAATGTTAGTCTACCTGTACACCTAATGTTAGTCTACCTGTACACCTAATGTGAGTCTACCTGTACACCTAATGTTAGTCTACCTGTACACCTAATGTTAGTCTACCTGTACACCTAATGTGAGTCTACCTGTACACCTAATGTTAGTCTACCTGTACACCTAATGTAAGTCTACCTGTACACCTAATGTTAGTCTACCTGTACACCTAATGTTAGTCTACCTATATACCTAATGTTAGTCTACCTGTACACCTAATGTTAGTCTACCTATATACCTAATGTTAGTCTACCTGTATACCTAATGTTAGTCTACCTGTACACCTAATGTTAGTCTACCTATATACCTAATGTAAGTCTACCTGTACACCTAATGTTAGTCTACCTGTATACCTAATGTGAGTCTACCTGTACACCTAATGTTAGTCTACCTGTACACCTAATGTTAGTCTACCTGTATACCTAATGTTAGTCTAAAAGTTTACTAATATTGATATATAGACTTGTAGATAATCTGAACTTTTTGTAATGTATTATCTACTGATACTCAGTAACTGATACCTGTAATATATATACTTATATCCTGTGGTATTCTTTATACCTGTAATATATATATACTTATATCCTGTGTTATTCTTTATACCTGTAATATATATATACTTATATCCTGTGTTATTCTTTATACCTGTAATATATATATACTTATATCCTGTGTTATTCTTTATACCTGTAATAAATATATACTTATCTCCTGTGTTATTCTTTGTACCTGTAATATATGTATATACTTATATCCTGTGTTATTCTTTATACCTGTAATATATATATACTTATATCCTGTGTTATTCTTTATACCTGTAATATATATATACTTATATCCTGTGTTATTCTTTGTACCTGTAATATATATATATACTTATATCCTGTGTTATTCTTTATACCTGTAATATATATATACTTATATCCTGTGTTATTCTTTGTACCTGTAATATATATATATACTTATATCCTGTGTTACTCTTTGTTTAACAGGACACAACTCTCGGCTCACTCTGTGACTTTGTCAAGTATGGTGGTACTGAGTAAGTATTGAATTATTTACATGTTACTAAGCCATAGTTATATAATGGAAGAGAAATTGTTTCCCTCACTGTAACAAAATTACAAGAAAAATTTACTTCAGCCATTAAAACTAATTGGAAATAAAAAAAATCAGTTTAAATTTGATTAGGTAATGCATACCATACCTACATCCCTATAAATAAATAACCTATGTTTATGATTTACTTTCGTATTAACTGCAACACATGTACCAATGTAGAAGTGTACACTGCTATCTAATTTGATATATAATTCCTATATGTTGGACCCAGGGGTACAGTGATATTTTAAATTTAGTTTGACATATGATACCTATATTTATAGGTGTACAGTGCTATCTAATTTGATGTATGTGGGATCTTTACAAATGGATTTTTATGGTACATAAAATTTTGTGATATAACTCTTAGAAATTTTTTATTTTAGGCTTGCAAAACTTAGAAATTGAACATAGACATGCATGTAAAAATATTTACATTGGTGAATTCAATAGATGACATACCTAATATGTGGTTAAAAATTGCCGAGATTAAACTTGACAATGGTTTCCTTTTTGTGTTGCCTGCAGAGAAAGTTTTGCGGACTTTTTTCAATTTATCCTTTGAGTTATTGAAATGAAATTTGGTATTTGGCTTCTTGTTGGAAGGGTACAGATTCAGTTTGATTCCTGGCTGTCTGTAACCCTTCTTGGCAGAGTTATGCCCCTTTGAACTCAAAAAATTCTCTGGGAATATTGTTTTCCACTTTTTTTTGGGTTATCCTTTGAGTTATTGAAATGAAATTTGGTATTTGGCTTCTTGTTGGAAGCACAGGCACTCGAGGCCAGGATATTATTTTTTAAACATTGATTTTTGTTTTAGCACTCAAAAAAAGTAGTTATGATAAGTTCCATTAAAAATACACAAGTAATTTTAACAATAAAAAAAGTGTATCCTTGTAAAACAATATGTATCCGTAGTGTGTGTATATTTACCTTTTATTTGGTGCATAACATTACAGGCAACGAGAAATTCACAATACGTACATGAGATTAACATCTCAATAACCGGAGATTTTATCGTCCATGTAATTATCTTTGACGGAAGTAACATGCCATTTCAAGGGCGGTCACTCCGACTTTTTGGGAGAGGAGTTCCGGATAGCACTATACCAGTGAACAGGTAAGAAAGGTTCCGATGTCATTACGCGCGTAACTTCAAAATAGATATTTTTATTTCTACAAATACATTTGCGGGGATGGAAAAATAATGGCTGGGCAAAGAAAGTCCACATTTGCCAACTCGGATACAATATCATGGTAAGGGATTATACAGAATGCATCAACTTTCAATCAAGCTGGCGGTAATGAGAATTTTTTTTTCAAAAAAAAAAAAAAAAATAAGAAAAAAATCATGCAGATAATGAAAAAAGGGCGCAATTTATGAAAAATATCGTGGGGGAAATATATTAACTTTGAAATTGGAAATTAAATGATTTTTTCCATAATGATTTTTGTCAAGTTATTGAGAATATTTGAAAAGAAATACATATTACTTATTAACCAAGAGGCCCAAAGGGCTTGTATTGCTACAGGTACTGTATGTTTTGGCAAACATCCATACAATGGACTTCCTGACCAAATATCATGACCCAAGGCCTTTTTGGTTATCAGAAGATGTTATTTAAGGGTTTATCCATGACCTTGAATATAATGTCAAAGTAATATCTTTTCTCAAACTTTGTTGCCCTTCACCCAAGAAACATTTTAACAAACATCATGATCCCTGGACTTTTGGTTAATCGGAATAAGTCGTTTAAAAAATCAACACATTGGACCAAAGTGACCTTGAATAAAGGTCAATGTATTTTTTTTGCTGCAAACGGTGTAGGGCTTTATCTAAGGAACGATATTTTTCATAAATTGCGCCTCTTTTCAAATATTCTCAATAACTTGACAAAAATCACTATGGAAAAAATCATTTAATTTCCAATTTCTAAGTTAATATATTTCCCCCACGATATTTTTCATAAATTGCGCCTCTTTTCAAATATTCTCAATAACTTGCCACTTTCATTTAATTTCCAATATCTAAGTTATATATTTCCCCCACGATATTTTTCATAAATTGCGCCCTTTTTTCATTATCTGCATGATTTTTTTCTTATTTTTTTTTTTTTTTTTGAAAAAAAAATTCTCATTACCGCCAGCTTGATTGAAAGTTGATGCATTCTGTATAATCCCTTACCATGATATTGTATCCGAGTTGGCAAATGTGGACTTTCTTTGCCCAGCCATTATTTTTCCATCCCCGCAAATGTATTTGTAGAAATAAAAATATCTATTTTGAAGTTACGCGCGTAATGACATCGGAACCTTTCTTACCTGTTCACTGGTATAGTGCTATCCGGAACTCCTCTCCCAAAAAGTCGGAGTGACCGCCCTTGAAATGGCATGTTACTTCCGTCAAAGATAATTACATGGACGATAAAATCTCCGGTTATTGAGATGTTAATCTCGTGTACGTATTGTGAATTTCTCGTTGCCTGTAATGTTATGCACCAAATAAAAGGTAAATATACACACTACCTACGGATACATATTGTTTTACAAGGAACTTATCATAACTACTTTTTTTGCCAAGCGAGGGGTCGATTTTTTAAAATATCCCACAGATATATAATTCACAAAATCAACTACAGTAAACTGTATTGTTCAGTTATTGAAGGTCACTTACTTTTCACAGCAACACGAGTTCCCTTGTACATACTCTTCATTACTCCAAATATTGTATGATCCTTAAAAATCAAAAAGAATTATTGTAGTTAAGCAAGAAAATGTTATATTATATGGATATTATTGTATAGTAATCATTAAATATTTCGTGATTCTTTCAAAAAGTATTTGTAACCCTGGTAAATTTGGGCTGCAATACAGCATTCAGCAAGAGAATTTTTTCATCAGCTCCATTGAATGAGCAAGCTTAGTACACCAGAGGTCTGGTGTTTAATCCTTAGTAGAGGCATTGAAATATATAATTATATCTATTGCATAAGCAGCATGTAGGTGCCCTGGAGGTGGGAACACAGGCATCCCTGTATACTTAGGAAACATATGGACAAGTTCTTTCCTTGGGGAAAGTATGTATCCCTGGTAAATACTTATAGCCACAATATACCAATCAGTTAGAGAGAAATTTTCTTTAGCTCAATATGTTCAGTTTAAGCATAGTAAACCAGAGGTCCCAAGTTTGATACCTAGCAGAAATATTGAAATAAATAATGAACCCCATTATATATTGATAATTTTGTAAAATCTGCTGAACATGGACAAACAATATTCAACATGAGCTCCAAAGGATTTGTGTTGCTCACTTGCAATTGCTATTTAAAATTGAATCCGAATCACAACATCTGAACTTTTGATCAACAATCAGGTCCAAATATAACAAACAAGTACCATCACGATTTACACAATACAACTGAATTTGATTTTGCAATGTTTACCATGCTCTATTGTCAGTGGTTGCTTTCTTCTACTAATATTGAGGATTTCCTATTGTTTCCCAAAGGTACTTTCGAACAAGACTATGATTTTATCATTAAATATGGAAAAGTAACAGGATGCATAGTGCATGGTCTCCGATTAACTTTGCTGTCGTGATATTTTTACATACTGAGTATTCAAGCGTTTTCACCAACATCAGACTACTTGACAGTGGTAGACGCTACAATATTGACTAATATTGGTGTGCTGTTATTCGATCACGAGTGTCGAAAACTACCCGTCCGAAATCTAAATATCAAACATGTCCGGGGTACATGTAAAAATGTACACTGAAATGAAAGCGTGTAGCATCCGTAATATGCCAGAATTTGTATATATCGAAATTTGTTTACCCATGTTGAAAACTGAATGTCTAAATACACAGCTATTTCTGCAGACGACATGTCATCATGACGTGACATGGCAGTTGCTATGTACATCTTACTCCAATGCGACAATCTTGTATATCAGTTCAGTTTTTTACTTAAATTTCATAGCAAAACAAATCATGGATACCTGGTCAAATGAGACAACCCATTTCCCTTGTTCCGGGATGGAAACAACACCTGCTACAAGGAAAAGTAAGGTTACGCTAAGTCGCAACATGATTTCCGTCATGCTGGAAACTGAAAGTGCAGGACAGCAGTTAATAAAGTTTGTTTACGTGTAAATTTAATAAATGAGTTAAAGGGATATAATGATTAACGAAATTTATACCTGGATCGAGTTTTCGTCATTAGTCTACAAAAGAAATTTTCGATAATCTAATAGAAAATTTATTTTTTAATTCCACCAATCTTAAACCTCCACGATCTGACTACTTTGTTCCTGATTGCAAAATGGCGCTGTCCAGTGTTTGATTTCGTCTGCTTGTTTGCAACGTCATCTAAAGTTGATTCATTGCTTTCAAGTAGTCCCTAGAACGATTTCCACCCGTCAATGAAGGCGCCGTAGACTGATTTATATTCAAAAGATGTTCCAGATTAATTTTGTTGCAATGTTATTGTATTTGGCTGTGATATTTACACTGTCCGTATTAACATCTTTGGCCTTCAATCCGTTTATGGATAGTGATCTACACTCCATTGACTGGGCTGGTCCTTCGTCAATCGACCAGGTATATTTAAAAAAAAATCCTTAGATATCATATAATCTTTCACAGATTTTATTCTGACTATATGTTTCTTTGCTGTCAGCTCATTTATATAGGTTAAGTAACATGGTGTATGTTGTTTGAAAGTTCACCTGTTCATTGCAGCTTTATAGCAGTCATGTGAATAATAATATGTCAGACACCTTCACAGTGCCTAGAAAGAGCGAAGCTGATATTCTTTGTTGAAATATCATGCAAATAAAGTTTAGATATATTATGGTTGAATTGTTAGTATATGCTTCAATAAATGAAGAAAATTGACTCTACAGTGAGTGATCGATCATGCATATGTTGTGATGTTGTTGTTGTTGTTTGTGTATATGTTGTGACCACATGATATTGGTTGCCTGGCATTATATGCCAGGTACTTAAAGGAATAAAGAAATTTCAATTCATGCCAATTTCGTTGGTATAAAATCATGTTTAGTTAAAAATGAAATAAGTCAAAACAAATTCATGTAAGCAAAACTGCTTTGATAGTATTTTTCATTAACATTAGCTCTGGGTAAAATGCAGAGCACCTAGATAATGTACATTGTGTGCTACATCAAATTTTCTCAAATGGATCAAGTCATTGGATCTTGTCCTGGTAATTAATATAAATGTTTCCAATGTTAAAGATCTGAAGTTCAATTGTCCATTATGGGTTCCCTGTAGTTACACAATATATATAGATGTGGTAGGTTTTTCCAATATTGATCAAGGCTGGAATCAAAAATCTATGTAGATCTTTCTTTAACTCTAAGGTACAATGGAGGAAGGAATATTTCCATATGATCAGAAAGTTCTTTGTTATTTAGTTTTAGTTTGTATTCCCTTCTAGTAATGTTTTCAGTGTCAGAAGTTATGAAAGTTGACACCGCAGGATCAAGGATCATATATTTAGATTTTTCCATCATAATTTTGTAGAGTTCAGTCATATCTCCCTTGGCTGTTCAATAGGCTGATGCTGGCAATTCTAGATGCTGTAGTATCTCTGGGTAGAATAAATTGATGATCCCTGTTATTAGCTCAGTACTGCTCCTTTGGACATTTTGTAATAATTGTAAGTGTTTAACCAGATGGCGGCTCCAAGCTTGGTTAGCTTACTCAAGGTGGAGTTTCACAAGACCTTTGTATAGAGGTTTGCATGTAGGTGGATCCATGCATGTATGTTGCTAGTACCCTCATTCAATTTATCACAATTTGCACTCACTGATGAGTGACATGTAACATGTAACAGCAGTGTTTCTTGTATTTTTCACAAAATATTTAATCTGCTAGTGTATATTTTGATCCACAGTTTTATTCAGAGAGTAATTAAAGTCTTTGTCCATACTATTCCAGCCTTCTTATTTTAGGCCTTAAGGCCATGTCTATGCAATTTTTGCTTTTTTGAGGTTATATGATACAATTGTTTTTATTTTATTTCATTAACACAGATTGAAGATAGCAAGAATGTTGTTGTGATGAAAACAGGGGCTAACGAGAAGTATAAATGTGTTTTGCCTGATACCAAAGATTCTGAAGATGATGTAAGTACAGAGCCCAGTTTTAAGTAGTAATTTATAAACTTTTATAATTCAGACTGTGGTTTTTCATTTCGTTGGGTATTGATGTCAGTTTTGAACAGTTTCATGAATAATCTGCAGGAATGTACTTAAGATACACATTTTGTATTGGAGATATGGCAGACTTCTCAGGTAACATAACAACAGATAAAGTAAATATTAGACAAGAATAGTACAATGTAAAACATTGATATACTTTATACCCAGGTAATTACAACTTCTGTGGGATTACTTTGAAAAATTGTTCTGATAAAAGTACTTTGAAATCAAAACTGAGAGGCAATTACTATTTTGATGTAACATGATATCTATTTTATTATAATAACTCCATCTTTTTATTTGACCATCATTCTGACAGTCATCAAAGAGGAATTATGCTGGGCCTACACCTGATGAGTTAATGGAATCTCTGTTTCAACAGAAAACTTGTTCATACAGGGTAAGTACTATAGATGTATGTTTCTTTTTATTTCATATGGTACATGTATCACAAAAGTAAAATTATATATTGGTATTGTAGTTTAAAGATATTTTGTGTTTTTGTAGTATGTACCTGGTAAAATTATATATATAGACTTGTTAAGAGCTTCAGTGATACTAACATTCTTAAATTCACTTTTTAATGTAAACAGTTTGTTGTTGATAATCTAGAAATTTAGCTAGAACATCATTAGCAAATTCGAATATATCATATGGAAAGGTATATCTTGGAATTGATGCAGGTAGTTTGTTTATAACAAGTGATTCCATAGTCTTTCTCCTTGGTTTCAAATACCATTGGCATCATTCTAGAGGATAAAACACCTGTATGATGCAGTTTAATTCATTGTTTGGCTCTACTATATCCAATTCTAAATTTGTGTTGAAATGTGCTGTTCACTTGAGGTACAAATTATCAAATTATCCAATGATCAACCCCTCCCATAGGGATATGTGGGGACTCTACATGTATATACTGTTGCTTAGTCTCAATCTGTCCTTCCATTTGTCTTTCTATCTGTCTGTCCATCCTTCCATTCTTGATCTTGTCTGGGTTCATTTTACTGCACTACTTTTCACTGAAACTTCAAACTTGGTGGTATGAGTCAACAAAGGTAAGGTGGTATATCATATAGCAAAAGTACGTCACTTAGATCTACATTTTTACCTTTGACTCACATCAAACAAAAAAATACTTGCAGTGTGAGTTGACCTATAGGTTAGACACTGTGTCATAACCTATATTTCGACCTTAGACTTACACCAAAGAGTTTGTCAAGGCTCCATTTACCATTCTTCCTGTCACTGGAACTTAATACTTGGAGAAATGGTTGACATGGTTGAGGCGATGTGTCATGTAGATTACTTTCACCTACATTTAGGTTTCAAGCCTGAACTGGGAATGGGTGATACCATCAATTCAAATCTGTGATATTTCCTCTTTGAATTGATGATATCATTTTTTGGCTTGAACTTCTGATTTCACATACTTGGTACTAAAATTAGTGTAGAGTTGTAGATCAACTTTATAAAATCAAATTACATGCAAACATGTAGTGTTAATGTAATTTCCTATTGTCCTAGCTCTCTCCTAGTGTACTGTGTGTCCTCTTGAGTGCCAGGAAGTATTGTGTACTGCTGGACATCAGTCAGACAATACAGGATGTACTGGTTTCCTCTATCTGTATAACAGTGTCTTGGTTTTGGTATAAAATTCTGGCAGTTTTACAAGTTTTGTTGCAAGGGAAATGAAAATTAAATGAAAAAGGTACTGTAGATACTACTGTTATGGATAGAGTTTGTCTGGTGGAGAGTGGGGAAGAATGACAGTTTTACTTCAATATGATAAATCATATACTATCAAAATGTCTAATTACACATTGTACTTAATGTGTTGTATTGCTATTTATAACATATTTTACTTTAAATAATGCATTAGCTTTGCATTGTGCAAAGGAAGTGTGTTGAACATGCCTTTATATAATGTCAAAATTACATAAGTAGGTGTAGCCTGGTGAAATTTCCCTTTAGCACATGTGTAGTGGTACATGTGTAGTGGCACATGTGTAGCGACACAAGCATTAGATAAAACTTTAAAATCTGGAGTAACTGCTAGATAACCAGATTTCTTGTATGTTTGTTTATGTTGTTCTAACTTTTGCTAGCACATATGCTTTAAAGTGTGATGATGATCTCTGACAAACATTTCAGATTGAAAGTTACTGGACATATGAACTGTGCCATGGCAAGCATATGAAACAATATCATGAAGATAAAGAACTGAGTAATGTAAGTAAGACTTAAACAGTTAATTAATTAACTCATATTATTTTTTTATCAATCAATCACTGTGTAACTCAGTGAAATAGATTCTGTTTTATTTATTTGAAATCATCTTTCTTAATATCAAATATTGTGCAATAAAAGTCTTGTTTTATGAAAAAATACTCACATTTAACTTTTCTTTTTGTAGAAAAAGGCTCCCCCTCAGGAGTATTATCTGGGCTTTGCTAAACGGGGTTCAAAAAAAGGTATGATATAAATTATTCAAATTAAATTCTAAATGTTTTTTGTTAAAGGCTTTTTAAGAGGTATGTTCTTGTTGCATTGAGAAGAAATTGAAAGGGGCAGAATTCCATTATTTGAGTTTATAAATGGATACTTAAAAATATTTTGTAGAATTGTTCAAGATTTACATATCTGTAATATTATTTTAGGGGAACAAATTTGCTGCCCGAGAGAGAGAGAGAGAGAGTGAGATGTGCATGTACATTGTGATATTCATATCAAAACTGAAATTGATTTCACATTGAAACTGAAATTTTAATTGGAAACCGTGTGCCAAACAGTGTTATATATGTTCAGATACAGATAAAAAATATTGATGCTTAAAAAGAGAGTTGGGTATGGCTTTGTAATGAAGATTGTAATAATTTCTTACCGATAGACCAGAGTGTTTTTAGGGTACATGATAATTAATTTGACCATATTTGTGGGATATCATTGCCTTGAGGGAATAGCAAATATTGTTGATTTTATCATTTGAATTTAAACAAAAAGTCACAAAATCAAAAATTCCAAACAAAAACTCAACTCTCTGTCACATTGATAAAAAGTGAAGTAAATGCCTTTTTAATTATATATATGTATTATCTTTTGATATCTGTATACTCCCAAACTGTGTTACCAGTGAAAACAACAACAAAGACAGGACAAGTAGTGGAAGAACAGGTAGAGGAAGAAGTAAAAACACCAACAGAGGTATGTTCTGTGATCCAGCTGACAATTCAATGTGATGATAAATTGCTTAAGTTTAGGTATCCTATCTTTTGTTATACTGAACTGACAACCAATGTTACATACAAACAAGTCTCAATACTCATACATATGACACGTTAGGGCATTTATTCAACATAAAATCAGGTTTTTATAAAGCATACATTTTACCGATAATTATACATTTGGAGTTCAATCTCCTAGTCTGTAATGATTGTAGTGAGAGAGTTCAATCTCCTAGTCTGTAATGATTGTAGTGAGAGAGTTCAATCTCCCAGTCTGTAATGATTGTAGTGAGAGAGTTCAATCTCCCAGTCTGTAATGATTGTAGTGAGAGAGTTCAATCTCCTAGTCTGTAATGATTGTAGTGAGAGAGTTCAATCTCCCAGTCTGTAATGATTGTAGTGAGAGAGTTCAATCTCCCAGTCTGTAATGATTGTAGTGAGAGAGTTCAATCTCCTAGTCTGTAATGATTGTAGTGAGAGAGTTCAATCTCCCAGTCTGTAATGATTGTAGTGAGAGAGTTCAATCTCCCAGTCTGTAATGATTGTAGTGAGAGAGTTCAATCTCCTAGTCTGTAATGATTGTAGTGAGAGAGTTCAATCTCCCAGTCTGTAATGATTGTAGTGAGAGAGTTCAATTTCCTAGTCTGTAATGATTGTAGTGAGAGAGTTCAATCTCCCAGTCTGTAATGATTGTAGTGAGAGAGTTCAATCTCCCAGTCTGTAATGATTGTAGTGAGAGAGTTCAATCTCCCAGTCTGTAATGATTGTAGTGAGAGAGTTCAATCTCCAAGTCTGTAATGATTGTAGTGGGAGTGTTAATGTCTGTAATTGTAGTGAGACATGTATACACGTATTTATGTTGCATGTTCATCTGAAGGATTCCATATCTTTCTGGTTATTTGTTGATATTAAGAGAAACCTTCTGTAATTCTCAGGTAACGGTTGTAGTGCCAGATTGACATGCCAGTAATTGATCAATAATTGAAAACATATATTGATGCCTTATCAGTCTCTCAGGACACTAGAAACAAATCTGTACACTTATCAAAACTCACAGATTTAAAATGTTAAATCACATTTTTAAAAACCTAATCAGTTATTTCACAAATAAATAATATGAAATAAAAAAATATTTTGTATGCCAAGTACCTGTACATATGTACCCCAGTATAAGACAAAGGTAACATTTAGAGTGGATAAAATCTCATTGTAACAGAAATCTGGAGAATTTTGTAAAATGATTGAGGTTCTATGTTAAAACATATCAACAGAATTGAAAAGACATTTAAAGAAATTGTGAAATTTGTGAATTGAATCGAATTTTAAAAATGATGATTTATTATTTACAGATTAAGATCAAGAATAGACAATATTGACCTGCCATATTTTGAAGTAAATATGACAGATGGGCAAACTTGTGACCTGACACAACAGCCTCGGAAATCTAGATTTCTTTACGTATGTCAGCCTGATGGACGAGGAGAGATCTATAGAGTTCAAAGAAGTTTCCACCTGTGAATATGAGATTGTGGTCCTCACTGCAGTACTTTGTTCCAATCCATTATTCAAGTGAGTGTAACTAGATATTCTGATTTAGCCTTCCTTGAAAGTTTGATATAATCCAATCTGTATCAATTTTCAGAAATAAGACTAATGTTTTAGTTAAATTGACCAATTTTTGTTTAAAAATCAGTAAAAAATGGATTTCCATTTTAATGTTCCTGTACAAGAATAATGAAACTCATTTGAGAAATTTTGTAAAATGTATTAAATTTGACTTTTTAGCCCACCATCTAATAGATGGTGGGTTATTCAAATCGCCCTGTGTCCATGGTCCGTCGTCCGTCCGTCCGTCCGTAAACAATTATTGTTACCGCTATTTCTGGAAAAGTACTGGATGGATCTTTCTTAAATTTCATATACAGGTTCCTCTTGGTCACTAGTTGTGCATTGTACCTTTTTTGAACTGATTCGCATTCAAGATGGCCGACAGGTGGCCATCTTGGATTTTGGATACAAAAGTTTGTTTGTATTTCTATTTCTGGAAAAGTACTGGATGGATCTTTCTCAAATTTCATATGTAGTTTCCCCTTGGTCCCTAGTTGTGCATTGTACCTTTTTTGGACTGATTCGAATTCAAGATGGCCGACAGGTGGCCATCTTTGATTTTGGAAGTAAAAGTTTGTTACCGTTATTTCTGAGAAAGTACTGGATGGATCTTTCTCAAATTTCATATGCAGTTTCCCTTGGTCCCTAAGCTGTGCATTGTACCTTTTTTGGACTCAATTCGAATTCAAGATGGCCGACAGGTGGCCATCTTGGATTTTGGAAGTAAAAG